TATTTTGAAGGAGATAAAATAAATATTGATGAAGATTAAGAATTTTGCGTTTTATTTAAAATTTCCGGAAGCTTTTCGGTCACAATGTATATATATCATAAATTTTAATAATCTCTGTATTATTTTTCGACAAGCTTACAACACTTGGCGTACGAGTCATGAGCAGCCTGTAAGAGCACTCAAGGAGGTTAAGTGCCAAAATGGAAATAAAATTGTATGAATACTCACACACGATATGAAGGTAGATAGGAAGGAGAATTAGAACGTTTAGAATAGTAGAAAATTGCTTTTATATAATTTAAATTTCAAATTGTGAAAGATGCATGCCAACACGCAAGCAGACACACCCACAACGAGTTTCGGATGTTTGAAGAACCCAACCTATTATAAAAGCAGTTTATGTAGAATTTGCAACTAATAAATTTCTTAACTTGAAGTTTTTGTTCCTCGACGAATATTTAACGAACCAACTTAATCAAACATGCAGAAATACAGCAGCTCAGAAAGCAGCTATCCAGACAGATGGTCGGAATTCATATACCAGGTATGCTAAATTGTGGTAACGGGGGTGTTTGAGGAGTAAAGGCGAAATGATTCAAACATTTAGCAGTATTAATAGCAAATCTTTTATGTCCTGTTGCAAGCTTTTAATGCATACGTCCTTTTTGCCACTTTAGAATCTTTGTAGCAGTAAAAATATTTGGCAATACGCACAAATGGGGAACTTACGTACTCAAGTCTGCTCCATTTTTTTTTTAAATATGTGTTGACGCTACGCAATATGTCAAGTGGGGCATACAAACATATTCGTACACAATACAAAAGGACATGCACACTGCCGAAAAGTCCTTAAGCAACATTGTGTGCTCCTGCTACTACAGCTGCTGCTACTGCTTTCAGGCTACCAGTATCGGTACGGTTGCGTGTGCAGCAAATTTTTCCTTGAACTCTCGTTTGGGATTAAATCGAAAATCCCATTTACAAATATTTGCATACGAAATATTTACCGAAATTAAAAAAGGAAGCTGCCGAAACGAAGAACAGAGCAAAAACAACAATAAGAAGAATAATATAGGATATATTAAAATAATAACAATTTGTTAAACACACAAACAATGAAACTTTATGTATCAAAGCCGTAAAGGATAAAATTTGAAATTCCAATACAGAATTTTATACAAACTTCCTGGTATGCGGAAATGTGTATTTTTGTTTATTTGTTATTATTTTGTTTCAATATTTTTAAAATATTCACAAATATTTACTTACTGCAATGCGCAAGCCATCGTCAGTGTTATCGCAATCGGTATGATGATGATGAAAAGTCCAATTAACAATGTGTACACATTCTGAAAATCTAAAAATATAATTTCCATTAAATATAATTTCCACAAAATTGAACAGGAAAATAGAAATTTAAACAAATAGAAAAACAATTTTCGAAAAAAAACATATACTCACCAAGTTCTAGGCCACCTCCAAGGTTTGGTTCTTCCATTACTGAAAATGCGGTGGCATTACCCATACGTTCAGCAATAGCATAGCTTATGTTCATCGCAGTGTCATTACCGTTTTTTGCCAAGTACTCTTTTAATGTGGTATTTTCGCCAACCTGCATTTCTGCTGAGTTGCCCACATCTACGCTTAACTCATCCTTGCGCAAATTATTAACGCCATGATTGAGTATAAAGTGTGCATAGTCTGCCGCGGTGTGTTTCGCATTGCGATGTAACGTAGCTGGATTGCCAAATGGATAAGAACCCTCAACGCCATCAAAGCCAATGCCACCAGCACCTTCGTCTATCAGATCGCCACCGTATTGTATTGACGACTCGACAAGTCTGTCAACTTCATTGCCATTCACGTTCTCTTCAATGTCATTCTCATATACGCCTGAGCGATGTTGATTTGCTTCGTCGGGCATGAAATCGATTTCTTTCAATTCAATCTGTGGCGGCAGTTCACCTATTACAGGCACACCTATTGACATTTCCGGCAGTATAGCCGGTTGTATGATGACATCAGGTGCTTGTGCAGGTACAATTGTTGTTGCTCCAACACTATTACTACTGGGTTGTTGCTGTTCAACTTCCATCACAGATTCACCAACATAAGTAACGTCGAGTGGCGGTGCGCCATCTATGCCACTACGAAAAATCTTCAACGCATCTGAGGTGTGCTGCAACGGTGATAAATATATATCTTCTTCATAACGCAAGGGTGGATTTCTCATTTTTCCAACATTAGTTGGTGTAGTTGGTGCTTTGTAATTAGCTGGAAAAAACTGTGCCTCGAGACGTCTCTTACGTAGTTGCTGTTGCAACTGCTCATAACTGGTGTTGGGTGTTGGTAGAGACTCACCCACTTTAACCTCAGTATTTGATATATAGAAAATAGTATCAGAATCACGATCTATGTTTGGCTTACGTGGTGGTGGTGGTGGTGGTGGCGGTGGCTGTAAATAACCATCACTACCGCTTTGCTTGACATCAGCAGTAAAAAGTTCATCTGACATTTGCGGCGGTTTAACTAAAGCATTTTGATTATAATATTTTACATCTTTGAGTTCAACATCCGCATCTGCATCAGCACGAAAAGTAAATATAGGATTTAAGTTCTCTACACTAGCTGAGTTATCAGTGCTATTCTCACCCGTATCTATAATTTCCACAACCAAAACTTCATCACTGCCACCGTTGGCACTGGTACCATTCTGTACACCACCAGCGTTATTGGCTGCATAAGACTTAACCGATATCGGATTTCTGTTCTTAGCAGCATAATGGTTATAACTATTACTTCTAGTGTTGGCGTTGTAATCTGTTTGTCTATATAAAAATTCCAGATCTTCGCTCTCATTACCAATACCCTCAGATACATTTATATGTATTTCTATAGCTGCCGGCTCGGGCTTGCCTAAACCGCCACTTGCTGCTATATTATTAGATTCTGGTGTTGAACTATCTACACGATCGACTACATATTGCGTAAAGCGTTCTTGTGTGGACGCTGCCAATGGTGGACGCGTAGTACCTACAGCTGATTCCACTGGTAAAGAATAATAGCCTTCATTGTCCTTAAAATTTGTAGAAGCTACAATTGAATCAATCGTTGAGTCGTAGACTTCAATTTGTATATCAGAAATTTTGGACTCCGTACGTACTGTATTATCTAATGCAGTAGGTATACCAGCATTTCCAGCAATACTTTCTGCACTCAACAAGTTCTTTCTTTCGGGAAAACGTGTGGCACTGTTTATAGCCTTTGGTACTTCAAATACTGTAGTTGAAAGTACGGGTGTTAATTCTTCTGTTAGACTTGGTTTTCCAGTTGTTGTTGTTGTTGTTGTTGTTGACAGTTCATTTAAATTATCATGCTGTTCTGTTGTTTGCTCAACTAATGCAGTTGGCGCAATTATTTCAACTATGCGTCCATCCCGCAATCTTGAGGCAATTGAAGACTCATGCTGTTCATGCGGTCGCTGGCTTGCAGTATGCAAAACGCTAAAAGTTTTCTCCCCCATGAAAATTGGACCTAAGTAACCACTATGCACGGGAGTGAAAGTTGTCGTTAAAGAGGGTGGTGAGGTGGCTGGAAATGTAGTTTGATCCAACTTATCGAGTTGCAGATTAACACTTAATTGCTTTACTGTAGTTGTTGTTGGACTTTTAGTTGCTTTCACTGGTTCTGTTGCTGCTGCTGTTGCTACATTTGTTGCTGTAAGGTCGTTTGATATTGATTTTTTAGTTGCTGGTTCTGCTGCTGCTGTTGTCTCCACTGTGAGCGCCACTGTTGTTGTTGTTGTTGGTAAGTCAATTAATGTCGCTTCTGTTGTTGTGGATGCTTGAGCGGTATTTTTCGATGTGGCAGTTGTTGCTGCTACTATTGTTTTTGTTGCTGTTGCTGTTGCTGTTGGTGTGGCTGCTATTACTTGTGATTCATTACTGCGTCTCACTGTTGCGATGAAACCACTTTCAGTTGTTGGCATATCTGTCACATCAACTAAATAATGCTTGTCAATTAGTTGCTTCTTTTTAGTGCTCTTCACACCATCGTGTCCGTCATTGAGTGGGTGGTAGAGCTTTTGTTGTTGTAAAGCATGAATTGCCTCCAAATCATGTTTCTCTAAATCGATAAGCTTTATGCTACCAGCTTCCTGATGGTGTTCATGCTGTGGCGTTTGTTCTCGCTGCTGTTTTGTAGGCAACACATTTATTGCCTCTGGATGTTTGGTTGTCATAATCACGGGGGCTGTTTTCATATTCACAGCTTCCAAATTACTTTGCTTTGCTGTTACTCTACTGGCATTGCTGTTGTTTTTCAAATTGTTTGTGCTGTCGGCACTGTCTTTTGTTGTTACAATTTCATCAATTTGGCTGTCATTAAATTGTGCAACGATTCCCACTTCAACTTTAGCTCTTGTTGCCGTAGGTGCAGTAGTCGCAATAGTTGCGGTAGCTGCTGTGTACTCGATTGTCGTTGTCATTATATCCGGTTCCGTTGTAATTACCGGCATCTTTAATATCTCTTCGCTAACTCCCGCCGTTTGTACAACTGCATCCATTAGAGTAGCTCCAGGTAAAATAGTTGCTATTTTGGCTGTTGTTGCCGTGTCTACTCTCGATCTTATAGTTGTTGTTTGTGCCGCTGTTGTGGCACTATCAGTTTCCTTAGCAATTTTTTCAGTTGCATATTCTGCTATTGCTTTTGGCATGGCTTTAGCATCATCTTGTTGCGTTGTCAACATCATCGCACTTATATTGATGACACTGTCTGTACTAATGGCATTTGAAGTAGACTGTGTTGTTTGTCCAATGGTTGTATTATGCTTAGTTTCATTTTCCAATTTCAACGCAGTTGTTGCCAGAACGTCTGGCGGTAACGATTTTGTTGCTATTACGCGTGGCATGTTTCCAAGTGTTGTTGCATCTGACATTGTTGTTGGCTCACTTATTTCATACACCTGCATAGATTTAGTGGCAACAACACCTGGCATTGGTATCTTTGTGGTTTCTACCGTCGCATACTCTGTGGTTTCATATTGATTTTCCCGACTGCCTATCTTTTTCTCACTCAAATTTGGCACAGGTTCTGTTGCAGCTTGTGCAACTTCAACTGCACCCTCAGTGGATGTTTTATTTAATGGAGTTGTCACTATAGTTCCACGTAGAGTAGCTAAAGTAGTGTCTGGTGTAGTTGTTGTTGCTGTTGTTGTTGAAACTTCTATTTCAGTTGCTCTTATAAAATTTTTCTCACGCCATATTGTCTTATCCTTTGTTGGAAATTGTTGTCTTTTCTTTGTGTACTGGGATTTCATAGATTTACTTTTTGGCTTCGGTGCTGTATTTTTAAATTCTTTCCTGTACTCTTCAACATTCTTGCTCGACAGTTGTGTATTGGAGACCGGTTTCGCTATAGTTGGTGTTGTTGTTATTGTTTGGCTTGTTTTGGCTATGGGCGTTAGTGGTAATCCCTTTGCAGTTATCGTCGTCTTTGCAGTTTGTTGTAGTACCTCAGGCGTTATGCCAATTTCAGCAGAAGTAACGACAAGCGTTGGTGTGTCGCCTTCCACACTTATGGTTAAATGATGAGTTGGCGCTCCAGTAACTGCATATAAATGCACATTTATGCAGAGGAAAATGAAGATGCAGTAAAACATTTTTAAACAAAGTTTCGTCATGTTTGGTTTATTAAAATTTAAAGTTATTAAGCGGAATTTTTCAACACTTTGTACTACTTTTGCTTGCTTGTGTTGTTGATTGCTTTTGGTATTTTAATTTCTGAAATGCATACAAGTTGCTGCAACAAAGGCGTTGGCAATGCACATCGCTTCCTCTACTTGCATCGAAACTTCACAAATGCACAGCAGCTGCTTTGATGTTGTTTGGGTATTAAAACTTTTTAAACCCACAATTGTCTTCTATTGTAGCGATAGAGTCACTGACTCTCTCTCTCACTCTATGTGTACGTGTGTATGTTAAATTTTTTACCGGTACCGACGCCGGTTGACAGCGTATAGATACGCTGCCACACTGCAAAAATTGCAAAAGTAGAAAAAAATTAGCAAACTTGGATGCAACAAAAATGGCTCTGATGCGCTAAGTGCTTTGAAAAGTTTTCCAAGTTTCTTATTTGCTCATTCCTTGTAGTGGATTGAGGGTCGACGTTATGCGAGCTACGTGCACTGGAAAGTTTTTCTTGCGAGGTTTTAACGAAATACGAAGTGTGGCACTACTTCGCTTAGAAGTTGGCTTAGTTGTAGGTGGGTCCGTTGTGGTTTGTAAATGTACGGAAGGAAGTATTGTTTATGTTTAGTTGTGTTGTAAGCTCTGTAAAACGGAAAGGGAGAAACAGAAAAAAATTACAAGATATGAAAAGAAAAATCGAATTAAGCAGAGAAAATTCAATTTAAAGAGTTCATAAAACTTTTCCTTTTATACTTGCAACTGTCAACGTGTTGAAGTTTTATTCTGGAGTAATAATAAGTGCACCGCTACAAATTCGAAGCCAATGTTAACAACAAAATGAAAAATGAAAAAAAGTTTTTAAATAAAATATTTCATATAATTAACTCACTGCTATTACTACTAATGCGAACTTTCTTGAAAGCCTTTGAAGTTTTAAAATAACTTTACTTTTATCTAGAATTTACAAACTACTTCAATCACTATGTTTCACTAAGAGCAAATTTCCATAAAATCGGAAAGTTGCTATATATATATATATAAATATATATATTGAGTTCCTAATAATATTAAGATTTCGAATTTTATAAGTGATTGATATTATTAATAAATACGTAAAAAATATAATTCCAAAACACCTCTAATGATAAGTATTTAAGCATTTGGCTGTGTAGTCAGCCAAAAATTCAATTATTTAAAAATTATAAAAATTTTGTTGTTGCAATTCACTACTGTTTGAAAAACCTATAAACTATAATAATATCTCAGATTTTATAGAATATTTATTATACATGTTACGAATAGTTAAACAAAAATATACTTCCAAAAAACCACTGATAATGGTACAGTCAAACATTCAATTAATTAAAATAATAAAAGTTTTGTTGTTGCAATTCATTATTGTTCGAAAAACTTATGTATTGTTAACCATAGTTTATATTAAGAAAATGTATGTATTTAACAAGTGACAATAAGGTCATGTTAAATGTTTGTTAGGATTAGAGGGGAATGATCTATTATATCCTACTTAAGCCTAGTGCTGGAATTAATTTGGTGCTCCACTGCTCCCAAGTCGAGTGCTTGAATGAAATAATTAAATAAAATCTAACAGAGTTGGTCAATAGAAAAGGAAATATGTTCCATCATGACAATGACAGACCACACATACCTATGATAAATCAGAACAAATTGATATAATTGTTAAAAAATAAACTAGTTTGCGTTTTGAACCAATATTATTAATGAAAAAGATTAAATAAGAAATTATACAGTTTTGTAAAAGCAAGTAATGAGCCCATTTCAAAATTTATGCAATTACACAGTAAATTGAAATTTAAAAGCTAAAAGTCATGTATATAGAGTCTAACTATATATTCAAAAGTGATTATAAGTGAGATGTCATCACTTAGTTGAGTGCATTTCAGTACCTTTTTACAATGGCTCTTGTGTTAGAAACTTTTTTTCTACGGCTATAGGACAAATATAACCTCTAGTCTGGAAGTGTAAAAATAAGCTTACCTCTGATCAACATAAACCCAATTTATATTATGTTCTGTTGTTACTGGAAATACCTTTGTGAGCATTGCAAATATGAGGTATTATTCTCAAGCCAATAAATTCAAAAGAACTCATCAATAAAGATCTTACAGAAATGAAAAATAAACGGTATTTCTTTGGATATCTTTGACGTCTTTGAGGAAAAATAATTTACAAAAAACTCTAAACATGATTTATATGCAGTAAAATAGAATCAGATGATCAATACGGTATGATAAAGAAAATACAGACCCCAAAAGTAGAGCTCAACAAGAACCAGACGGAAAGCCCTATCACAATATGTGAGACAATGCTTCATATCAAAGTTTATAGAAATCCTACATGTATATATAATATAAAACGTATAAAACGTTTGTTAGCATACATATCACATAAAATGTTTGTTAGCATACATATCTATTCGAAATGCAATCTTACATCCTCATTAATGTTACAAAAAGAGCATACCAAATTACATCTGTGCATGCTTTGAGTATTTTTCAATCATTTCGAAGTTTCATCTTGACAGAAAAATTATTATTTTAAAAGAAGGTTCTTGTTAAATGATATTTTACAACTTTCAAACGATTCTTATTCTCGAAAGGTCGATTGCAATCTAGATACGAATGCAGAATATACTGAATTTTATTTTCTCAATAAACTAGTTTGTTTAACTGTGACCCTTTGAAGCAATAGTCTCAAATGTTTATTGCAAAGACCTTCTAAAGTTTAAAATTATGCTCGGTCTTTGATATTTTGCAATAGAGATACTTTGATCATTGTGCATTGTACGTTGTCACCGTCCTTATTACGTAGCTGAAATGTGAGTTGTTTATCTTCCATACCAGTTTCTGTCATTAAGGCATATATCGGTGTTAAAGTGTACAATTGAAGAATTCGCTCAATAAAATACTTTTAATATTTGTCGACTTCCTCGTTATTCCAAACTTAGGCTTCATTCAACATTCAAACTGCTCTATAAGTTGCTAAGAACAGATATTTTAGCCCAGGAATTTTAGATAGAGCTGTTCTATCCATATATGGACTGGTGGTTTGAAATTAATATACCGATTCGAAATACTAATTCAATGTATTATACTGTATATTTTATTGGAACACTATAGCATATATTATTGAAAAGTAAGCACTTCTCTTGAAGAAGGTTTGTAGTGAAAACCAAAAAATTTAGCCATCCTGTTAAAGTATTGACAACTGGAAGAAATATCTAACTCTTAATCATCAACTAAATCAAATGACCTAAACAACCTTCTTACAGTGCATGGAAAATTATATTAATTAGACTCACTTAAAGAAGAAGAAATAATGAAATGTGTGATTTTTGTATTTTCATATCTTCATTAATAATTTGAATAAATTACCAAAGACTACAATGGATCGTGTTTGATATTCAGGTATGATCTGCTATATATTCCATCAATGAAATAGCAGAATAGTGCTAATCTGTTGAAAATTTGGCATCATGGTTCATAGTGTGATGAGGCTATATAAGACAAAACGATTTTAATCGTAGCTATCGTGATGTGAATACAGAATAAACATGGTAATATAATTCATTCATAATATCATAATTACATATCATATTTAATTCATAATTATATCATTCATAATTATCATCATTCAGGAAATAATTTCCACATTTTCTAATAGTCGTATCTGCTTCCAGACAAAGATAAAATTCTGTCTTCCCGAAGAGATATATCTTATAAAGATGATAATGCGCCATGATCCTTGCCTTTGGTTTGAGTACAAAAGAGCTCTTCTTTTCGCCCGTTACTCGGGGTGTCATGACAACCGTGAGCTCTTTGAATTACTATCTATCTTTTGTATACACATTTGCTATAATTTCATTGGATGTACAAGAGAAACTCTTTTTTTTCTTATTATGTTTATAACTAAAAGTATTCATATTATAAGTCATGAGCTCAAGATACTCATTTATAACCTCATGATGACTCATTTGTAAGTAACACAAATATTAACGCTTTTGAAGTAATCGATTAGATACATGTAGTAGGTACTTCTTATATTGTATGATTAAGGAATATCGATACTATATGTATTAGTATTACAAGTCGTACTCTATAATAGCGAGAGCTGTTCTGAGATGCAATAAAATCAAAACTTGTGAAAAATGAGAGACCCTGATTATTCAAATGTTAAATAAATTGCTATTGTTTCCATCGACATCATTAATTAATTCATTACTTTTTGCCATTTCAACACGAGTCGATATTGGTGTGGTTTAGAGAATTGTAAAATCATTGGCTCATATTCTTTCAAGTATTCTATCAGTCGAAAAATCAATTTAGAGAGCTTCAGATCCATAATGTTTATTCCAACGATAATTAAATTTATATTGTTTCTATAAACATTCATACATATTATTAACATTACATTTTCCTATATCAACATGACTGGATGTTGATCTGCTTTAAGAAATGTTTTTGATAATTTTTTTTGATAATTTTTCGTTTGTTGAAAGCTCAGAATTTAGAACAGCGCTTCAGAACCATGACTTACAGCTTTTTGTTCTCCATTTAAATATCATTAACATGCAATAGGTTGGGTTTTAATAAGATTGCGCAAAATGCCGCATAACTCACGACATAATCAAATTATATGTCCTTTTGCAAGGGACATAGTTTAAAGTAATTGGTGGGAGTACACAATAGTGCGATCTTATCACACCAAATTATTTATTATGAGGATATGTGAAATCG